TATATTCCATTTGCTTATTGAATGATTGATTGTATCTAGCAAAGCTAAGGTACTTTGTATAATCAGAGGTTTTTTCTATGTCATGGATGACTCTTGCATGGAAAGACTCATAGGTTAAAGGCAAGTACCCCGGCTAGATCTTCATCACATTATTTCAATCTTCACCATTATTGTGTTTTATCTAAAGAATATAATATTAATGTCATGATTGGATGCCTTATAGAAACACTTGCTTGTTTGTAAACGGGTTAAATCTCGGCACAAGCAATTCTTGTAAATTTCTAAAAAGGCATCAGAATCATGTGTTTAATTCTCAAAGTCCATCTTTATCTCCGATTAACTTCTTGTTGACACGGGAGTCAATTGAGTTATAAAGCACAAGTATAATAAATCAGATGATCAACTGCATGTTGTGATCCTCAAGCTAAAGGGTGACTGTTTTACATTTGAATTTATCTTATATTTTGTCTAGAAAACTCTTAGAAAGAATCTTCTATTCTATTCAAAGAAATCTCATAACTTCAAACTCTCAAGGTTTTCAATTACTTGGTCTCTGTCACTGCTTAATTCAAAACACCAATCATAGTTTTCTGTGGATTTAACTCCAAACTTAACCGGATTATTACTACAACTTGACCGCCTGCACTTGAGTGTACACATTTTGAATCAAATCATCCTTACCAGCATCTAATATCCAAAGAAATCAACACTACAACTAATGTTTCGAAGAGATAAAAAATCAATTGTTTGAATCGTCATTGTTCAATTTAAATATAGATAATTGCAATTCTATCATCCATTGTTAGGTAAAAAATGGAATGGATAAAAAAACCAAATGGGTAGCAGCCCTTATCGCCGTGCCAAAAAATACAAAATTTTAAAAATCAAAGAAATTGTGTATGAGTTACCTCTTGCACAATAGCTCTCATAGAATTTTCTAAACTCTCAACAATTTTCTCAATCAACTAGTTAAATAATGGTCAAATCGATAACAAAAAAGGGACGATTGAAGACAAGGAAAACATAAAAAGAGAACAGAGGTACATTAAAGAGAGCAAAACTCGGTTGAAGAAAGGAACTTCCAATTCACAATAGGAATGACATGAGGGGCCAAATAAAGAAAAGAATGAAGTCTGAAGAGATGAATGAAAAGTCGAGACCAGGAGACAAGAAGTGTTCTCCTAATTTAATGTTATATTTATGAAGCAAACCCATATGTTCTCCTAATATATAGAATTATTCCTATAACTTTTTAGTGGGGGCAATTTGTAAAAAAAATTCAAAAAATTTAAAATATTACCTAGACCCCAAAATTTTCTAAAATTTCAGTGGGGGTAGTTGTCCCCATTGCTGGGCTGGGTTCAAAACATAAATTTGGTATAATAATTATAGATTTATATATTATCCTAACCTTAATCCAAACTTGTTATATAAGGATAAGATTAAATAATACTCTTATTAACACCATTTTATGGATTGAATGAGAACTAATTACTCAACCTCATTTTTTATTTATACCTGAACCAAACATGTTCTAAGAGGAATGAGAGTAATGTTACACCGACCAAAAGAGACAAATGACGTGACATTAATATAATGAGATTTTTGCTATCATTTTTAAACATTTGAAATTTAATTTTTTTTAATATAATAAAGTCACGTCCTTTAGTTCTTATTTTTTATTCCTTTCTGGGTTGATCTAACATTACTCGAGGAATGGATGTTTCAATTCAGTATGATCCTCACATTATTTTTTTGTGGTTAACCTAGTGTTATCCTAAGAAGAAAAATCAAGACAAATTGACAGTTCCAACAAGAGAAATGGTCTTACCCTGGATCACAAATAACATAAACGGGGCAGGGGTGGGGGTGGGGGCGAGGGTGGTAGCGGAAGGGAAAACAAGAGCGATAAAATTCAAAAACACTTAAGAGCGGGAACGTCACATTATACATAAATATATATTTACATATATAAAATTCATAAAACTATAATTAAAAAATTAAATTTCATACACAAACATAAAGTAAATTAGTTAACTATTGTTTTGGCTTAGTAATAATAGAATGAATGCTAAATTAAAAGCGTTTTTGTTTAAAAAATAAAAAAAAGGCAAGAAGGCAATGGCTTTTAATGCCTGGAACACAATCCCACGTCGGAAAGCCAAGCCTGGTTCCAGCAATACTTCTCCTATAAAAGCGGAGTAAATGGTAGGCTTTAATTTGTAATGTGTCTTGGATGCAAAGCCTTTGGTGGGGGCGACTACAGCACAAGGAAGTGACCTTTTTTAAAAAAAATGGCAATGGAAAAGTTAAATTTGTACTATTAAAATTTTGAATGTGTAATTCACGAATTCAAATTTTGAGTTTGCGAATTTACCTGAGTGAGCGCGAATTGCTAGTGAATTTGCTCTCAACTCATGAGGTACTAGTGAATTTGCTCTCAACTCATGAGTTACCATTCCTAGTGTTAGAGGGTGGTCTTTGAGGCATGAATCATTTGACTTAGGTCTACTCACGAAAAATAAGAATACGATATGAAGATTAGTAACATAGTGTAATTTTCTTGTTGGTTATTCACTTGGGAAAGTGAAAGGGAATGAAGGGAATAAAAATACAATACTAACTTGTATGATGCGATTAGTTTGGAATGAATTATAAATGTCGATGTTTTGACTTTTGACTTTTAATTTAATTAATACGAAATGTAGGGTGCGTTTAGTAACGTTTTCGTTTTTATGTTTTTTTTAACAAGAATTAGTTTTTGTTTTTTCTGTAATAAAAATTAAAAATAAAAAACATGTTTAATAGTCATTTATATTTAAAAAATTGTGAAAACAAAAATAAAAAATTGGTTTGGTATTATACCAAAAATTCATCACCCAAATCCCACCACCGAACTCCACCACTGAAACCCACCACCACAACCCCTGAAACCCACCCCCAACCACACCACCACAACCCCCGAAACCCAACCCCAACACCACCAACGAAGATCGGTGATTTGAGCCCCTTCGCATGCTTTGTGAGAGAGAGAGGGAAGAGATAGACAAGAGAGAAGATTAGGAGAAAGTTGACATTTTATATGGTGAAAAAAAATAATAGAATTTTGTTGGTATTGAAGTTTGAAGTTCAGACCTCATTAAATGGTCTCCTTCCTCTCGCTTGTTTTCTTTTTTGGATGTTTTCAAAATGGATTAGCAAAAAAAAAAAAATGAAAACATTAACTAAGCATATTTTTATTTTCATTTATCACAAAAAATGAAAACAAAAACAGAATGTTATCAAACGACACATTAATTAGCACAAATAAGCCTATCGTAGTCTTACATTGAAAAATTTCTCACCATTAAAAAAATATAAAATCAAAACATAACTTTTCTAGTATAATATTAAAAAATTATATATGATTGCAAATCTTGATATGATTTAATTTTATCCTTTGCTCATAAAATAATAAAAAAAACTAAAATAATAAAACAAATGAATTTTTACCAATCATATTATCACTAGACAAAAAGAAAATATACCACTTTTGGATAACATAATCTGACCTGAATGAAAGGAGGGTCTATTCAACCAAATGATAGAGGGTTGACAATGGCATCGAATTATCACTAAACAAAAAACTAAATATCTACAATATAAAATATGTTAAGTTTCAATAAGTCTATTCAACGGTTTCAAATAGACTTATTCAACAACTATTAATATCTCTCTCAAAATTATTTGCATTGCACCATGCCTCCTCCTAATTTATATAATAACATAGAGTGAGTTTTGAATTTGAGAGACAAAGAACAATTGAGATCGTTTCATGATTAAAAAAAATATTATTCAAATGACGATGCTAACTCAAGTTATTGACTTCTTAGATTATTTTTATATGACGTACCACGTTAACTTTTAAAAAAAATTTCCACTCAAAATTTTACACCCTTGCTCTCTTCTCCCCCGATCTTTGTCTAATCTCTAGCCCCCCCTCTGTCAATTTTTTCTCCCCAAATCTCACACAATCTCCCCCATCACTCTTCTATCTCTTCTCAGCGAGATAGAGATGACCACAAAATCTCCCAAAATCAGTCTTTTCTATACCCTCATCGACGCAACACGCCAGACGTAGCTCCCTTACCCTCGTTCTTGTGTAAGTTTTCGTGTGATATCACCATTTAATTAAAAAATTAAAAATACATAAATAAATTCTATTATTTTCATAATTATCAATAACCATCTTATCTAATTAACAAAACATAAAATTAGTAAAATCTACTTTATCTATTTTGTTATCTTCTAGTTTGACGATGACACTATACGGCAGTGACATCGTTGCAACGAATATTTCCTCATTCTCCGCCTCTACATCTCATTCTCTGTCATCGTTGTCTGTGAAATAGCTCTTGTTTCTTTTTTTTTTTTCGGTTGAACTGGTATTCGGATCGACTTATGAATACCACGATTAATTCCCACCCAATCCAAGACCATCTGCATTAAGAGAAGAGAAAAATTTCTCGTTCATGAAATCACTAGTTTCGGCCAACAGTTCCTGATACTAGTAAGCCCAACAACAAATGAAGCTTCTCAGACATGATCTTTCTGAATCATTTCACACTTTCTTCCGCAGCAACAAAAAACACTACTCGTTTTATCACCGTGAGCAAAACAATCTACTTCGGAAATCGACCCACCTCAGGAAGTTCATGACAACAGCCCAAAACGGCTGGTTTGGCTCTCAAGACTGCGTCTTACTCTTGCATCACCTAGGTGATATCAGAGAAATAAACCATGGAAAGTCTGTTCATTCAATCTGCATAAAAGCAAGGTTGAATCAAGATGTCTTTGTTCTTAATAATTTGAAAAGATGTCTATTAATTTGTGGCGATTTGTTAAGTGCGCATCAAGCGCTCGATGAAATATCGGAACCGAATTTGATTTCCTGGACAATTATGATCTCTTCATACGTTCATGATGATCAATATGATTAGGGGTTGTCCATGTTTTCGCAAATGGATCGGTCTGGGTTGCAGCCTCAAGAGTTTGGTTTCTCTGTGGCTCTTAAGGCTTGTACGACTATGCATGATTTTATGATGGGTGAGCTATTGCAGGGTATGATATTGAAATGTGGATTTGAATTGAATAGCTTTTGTAGTGCTTCAATTCTTGGATTGTATGTTGATCAGGAGACGTGAAAAATGCCCAAAAGTTTTTTGAGGGAATCCTGTTATGCAGAAGTTCCGAACCATTGTGGAATAAATTGCTAGACGGTTATGCACAAACCTGTGATGTGGAGGAAGCTTTCAGGTTGTTTCATCGCATGGCTTATTCTTGCAGTTTACCCAATATTAAAATTATGCTCAAAGTTATTGGATTGTGATCTTCTGAGGTCACTCCATTGCAGCATTTTAAAGGTAGGATTTGAAGGTGATACTTTTGTGTGTGGAGCCCTAGTTGACACCTATGGAAAATTCGGATTACTAGCAGATGCATGTAACTTATTCTGGAATTTAGCGGAGAGGGATAATGTGGCATGGTGTGCTTTACTGGCTGGATTTCTTCAAAATGGGGAGGCCAAACTAGGCCTGAACCTTTTCCTTGAATTTCTTTCTAATGGAACTAAACCAGACCCATTTAGTTTTGCCATTGTATTTAGTTTGTGTTCAAAGTCAGACATCGAGGGCATTGGACCCCAAGTGCACTGCAGTTTCATCAAATATGGGTTTGCGTTGGATTCATTTCTGGGGAGTGCCCTTATCGACATTTATGGAAACAGAGGAATCATTTGGGATGCTTATATGTGTTTCACTGAGGTTAAAAAAAAAGAACCAAATATGCTTTAGTGCCATGATTAACAACCTAGTCATTTGTTCAATTAATGAAATGGCCTTAGAATTATTCTGTCAGATGATGAAACTAGAACTTGCACCGAGCATTCCGTCATTAAGCTATATTGTTCGAGCTTGTGCAGATCTGGATATGTTAAGGGAAGGAAAATCACTTCATGCCTATGTTCTAAAAAATTTGAATGATTCTGACTCTAATTCAAAATGCACTGATCGAGCTATATGCTGAATGTGGAGTTGTTGATGAAGCAAAAATGGTATTTAAAGTGATGACAATGCCAAATGAGTTCTCATGGACTACAGTCATATTAGGTTGCTGTCAACTGGGGCGCTTTTCGGAAGCTTTGAGGCTGTGCAGTAATATGTTTTTCGCTCCAGTGATTGCCAAACTGAGCCATTTTACTGTGGTACCTATTCTGCAAGCTTGCATGGGACTGAAAGATCTTGATGAAGGAAAACAAATCCATGGTTATGTCATGAAAGTAGGATATGAATGTTATCCATTTGTTGGAACTGCACTGTTCAGTGTGTATGCGGCATTAAAAAATGAAATCCAAAATGCTTCTCTATCCATGAGTCAGCATGATCTTGTTGCCTGGAGCACGATGATAACATGGGTCCAAAATGGTTGTGATAAAGGAGCGCGGAAGACTTTTGCAGAATTTCAGAGTGCTCCAATTTTCCCAATTGATGACTCCATTTTGTCTAGCTGTCTTTCAGCTTCTGTTGGCTTAGCGTCTCAAGAGTTGGGCAAGTGGTTCCATGCCTGTAGCTTTAAAACTGGGTTTGAGTCACATGTACACGTTTCATCTTCTAATATGTACACATTGCATCTTCCATCATTGATATGCATAGCAAGTGTGGTGGTATAAAAGATGCACTCAAGTTTTTTGATGAATTGAATGCTAAAAATGTGGTGTCTTGGACTGATATGATTTCTGGATATGCCCATCATGTCCTTGGAAGAGAGGCTGTTGAGCTGTTTGAGGGGATGAAAGAAGCTGGGTTGAAGCCAGATGCTGTGACCTTTATTGGGGTTCTAACCTCATGTAGTCATTCAGGGCTCTTGAACGAAGGTTGGCAGTACTTCGAATCTATGAGAACGGACTATGGCTTGGAAGTTACAGGAAATCACTATGCCTGCATGGTTGTTCTCCTTGGTCGGCTTGACCAGGTGGATGAGGCAGAGGCTTTAATTATTAAAGCACCTTTCCAATCGAAAACACTTTTATGGAAAATTTTGTTGGTTCCTTGAAACACACATGGGAGCACTGAGAAAGGCAACCAGATTGCACAGATGCTTAATTGAAGTGGATCCAAATGAACCTTCAAACTATGTTTTATTGTCAAACATATATGCTGCAGCCTTGATGTGGGATAATAAGGTTGAGCTGAGAAACAAAATGAAGGAAGAGTATGTCAGCAAAAAACCTGGTTACAGCTGGGTACAAGGTGAGTTAATATTCTGTGGGAGCATCATGTCTCTATTGAAAGTCAGTCATAGAATTGCTTATTGTAATTGATGTTGCCCAGTAGGTTGTTTGGCCTTGGGGGTATTTTGAGGGGCAGATGCCCTAGCTATTCAGTCACTGAATACCACCTATTCAACATTCTTCCTCATGCGCCGATTTGGTGGAATTGCCAAAGTAAAAAGGATCTAGCAGGTTCTCATGGGTAAGTATACCTTTAGAGTTGTTTGTTTTGCTGTTAGACTATAGCATATGGAACTATATTACGTTTATTTGGCTCTGGATGGCCCCAAACCACTCTCTTTATTTTTTTGTATTATTCTTGGGTAGGTAAAATGGCTAGGAGTGCTGGACACCATCTTGTTGAAGAGTGCTTACTTTTGCGGGCAGTCGTAGCTTAGTATTGTCTTACATCTTAAAATGCTTGCATGTCAAGTTACACCTTTCCTCTATTTCAGAAATGGTACTCACTAAGAAACTCCCTGTACTTGCAGACAATTTCTAGACCCGGGTTGACCTGCGCTTGGGGTCAGAAAAGTGATCCTTTGCATTTGTGGCATAGGCGGGCAAGGTACGATGAACCCAATTGCCGGGTTGGGACTATCAACAGATCCTAAAGCAACTAATGGCTGAACTATGAGCAGAAATTTTTAGATTTGAGATGATCGGACTGGAGCTTGAATCATTTCAACTTGCTCAAAGAAGAGATGATCTAATTGAACTACATCCAACTATGTCGTAATTCGCTACTCTTTGTGTAACACCCCAACTTGGGGTACAATATCTGTCACAAATGATGAGGAGAACTAACAACAATCGCATAACTCTGATACCTTTATATTCATACAAATTATGTTTAAAGGACAAAAAAAACCCCACAATCACATCTCAATCGATCCTCTAAACTCGGTAGTGTAGTCCTCTCGTCTTTTGTGTTTTTCTTGAAAAGTCATTGAGACCATTAGTGAGAGAGCAATGATGTAATCAATAATCATGAGCACAAGAAGAGATAAAGAAAATATTTTATTTATTTAGGAACAACCTTAACCATGTTGCAATTACCAACATTAAAGTACACTTCACCACTTACACGTTGTTTGGATACATCACATAGACATGTATAAATCACGGAGGCAAAATTTATCGCTAAAATAGTTACTTTCACATAATTAAATTATGCCACACAACGAATACCCTCGTGCATACCCTGATCACATAAGAAATTTAAGCTACACAAATAATTTTCATCACTTAGACGACATATACATACTAACTAAATAATTCTCATTACTTAGATGATTCAAGTCAAATAGATACTTCTCATTCTTGTTACTTAGACGACTTAAATACGTAATTTAATTTCATCATATAGATGCCGTTGCTAATCAACTCAAATCACAAGACTAATTTTGGTCAAACAACTAATTATTGTCTTATAGGTGACTCACAATTACTTAATATTTTCTGTCACATAGACGACACACAACTACTTTGGTAATTCCCGTCACATAGACATTATACAATCACTTAATATTTCCCGTCACGAAAACGACCCACAAACTTACTATTTCTCATCACGTAGACGTCACACAATCACTTAATATTTTCCGTCACAAAGGCAACCCGTATGCTTAATATTTTTCCATCACGTAGATGACACACAAACTTAATATTTTCCGTCATGTTGATGTTACACAATCACTTAATATTTCCTGTCACAAAGACGACACACAACTTAATATTTCCCATCACTAAGACGACACACAAACTTAGTATTTCCCGTCACGTAGGCGTCACACAATCATTTAATATTTTTCGTCACAAAGACAACTCATATACTTAATATTTTTCCATCACATAGACATTCACAGTCACTTAATATTTTCAATCACGAAGACGATACACAAACTTAATATCTTTCGTCACGAAAATGATTCATATGACACTTTTATCGTATGGACAACTCGTGTATCTGTAATATTTCCAATCGATTTTATGACCCACACTCTCATTGCAACTCTCGCCATTTTGATGGCTCACACCCACATTATTATCTCATCATAGGAATGCATCATGCTCGCAAATGAATTTAGCTCACAAAACAGTCAACTCAAAACGCATGCACAAATTTCATCACACAATCAACGCAAGCCACGAAGGCTTACTCCGTCATTTAAACCATCTCTGTCACCCAAATATTTCAACACTCAGTTATTAAATCTTAAAAGAGATCATAAAACAACCATTTAAACAAAACTTAAATATGTATTAATAAAGAGAATGTAGGATAGCACACCTACTTTACGTGGAATTCTATCTTGTAGACGACCCATATGCCAGAACTTTGAGTGTGGCGTTCTTTGAGGTGTTCGCCTCTAGATCTGGTACACCCAATATTTACCAACCCACTCGGCATTAAGATATAATATTGCTTAAGTAAGAATTAGTTTATTCAAACCAAATTTTAATAATTAACTCTAATTAAATAAAATAATCTATTCATATCGAATAAGTTAATGTACCTGCATTAGTTGAATTATTCTTCTCGAATCAGTTAAATTTATATAATCATACAAGTTACTCCAAATTCAACCATTCTCATGAAATCATAAACATAATAAAAATATATTTGAATTTACTCCATTTTTCCATGAAACCATAAAATCACATGCCTTCTTGTAACTAATTCACACCCATGGATTTATGAGAGTTCAAGGGATGATTAACAATTCACAAGATTTCTAAGCTACCCACCAATATATTTCCTCTCTTGGCCGAAACCCACCCCACACACAACAATCATAATTTTCTTTATATTTCATGCCATGACTCTAGTTATCCTTACACATTCACACAGGCATCAAGCTAAGCCTTCATGCAACACTCAATGGTACACATACTCAACAAGTATCACACTAAACTTACATGCAATACCCAAAATGCATACACTAAGAATTTTTATCTATACATTTAAAAGGAGAGAAGGTAAATTACATGACTTACCATTTGTACCCACTTCCTACACCCCAAGCACCACCAATAATCTTCCACCATTAAACCCACCACCAAGCTCCACTTTAAAGTTCCATTCTGTTCATTCCTTGCCATGGCCGAGACCTCCAAGTTGGAGAGCTTTCCTTTGCTTTTTGTTTTCTTAGCCGAAAATCCCCTAATGGTTCCAGAGAGTTCTCTCCCCCCCCCCCCCCCCCCCCCGGCTTTTTTTGGTAAGTCTTAGTGGAGTGCCCACCCCCTCTCCCTCTAACCGTCCACTCCCCCTCCCTCTAAAGTACACCCACACAATTTTTTCCTTAGTGGAGTGTGCACTCATTGCATTCTTTGCATGTCTTTATGTGCATATATAGATATATATATCTCCTTACTTTACTTTAGTGGAGAGTGCATCAATACATGTGTCCTCACACACACACACACACATATATATATTTCATATCCAAATAAACAATACACCTAATAATCTATGTTATTAGACTTTAATCCAATTATTGCATGCATTAGCAAGAATATTTATAAACAATAAATTTATATCACATGCTGGCCACCCACTTAGTGCCCTATGCACTAACATGCATAAAATAATAAAATTAGGCCACATTCAAGCATACTCATTTAACTTTACACACTTAAACAAAAATAATTCGCTCATCATTATTCAATCTAAATAATTCTCAAACCTTGTTCATATGCACTCTCTAAATATTAAAAATACTGATCGTACAGGTTCAGGTCTCATAATGTTTCTAATTAAATAGTGATTACCAATCATACACATTCCTATCACATGTTAACATGCTCATAATAAATGTTCATATAATATTTATTCGTGTTCGGGTCTTACAATTTGTCACGTGTGTTCAATTCTTACACTTTGCTTGTTTACATGTTTTTATATAGATGAAGCAAATTTGGGATCAATGGCCAACTTTAAATGTAGAAGTTAGAACCCGCGGAAAGTAGGACTTCCAATTTGGATTTTATGCCCTAAAGCAATATAACAAGTTTTCGAGCAGGGCCAATGAGTTGAGTGGAAAAATGGCTTTTATTGTTCTTGAAAATGTGACCTGCTTAGATGAGGTAGACAAGTTTAGATATTTTGACCTTTGGGTTTCACTCCAGATATTGCGGTCAAATATTATAGACTTTTCTGCCCGTGGAGATTGCATTTAAATAGTCTGCAGATGAAGCAGTCTGGGAACAAGTTCAACCAAAAATCTCCTAAAATTCCTGGTAGTGAATCACATACATGGTTGCTGCAGATCACTCGAGTCATCTGGGCTTAAGAGATGTGAAGTGGGAGATGACAGGCAGGGCTAATGCTTGGGTTATTATCTCAGAAAACCTGAAGCTGTTGAAAGATGTTAATGAGAATGATGTGATAGAAACTCTCTGTTGCTGGGAGGACAAGTGCATGGAACCAAGATTTTAATGATTAAAAAAAAGGTGCAGTTGGTTCCTCGTTGAACTTCCAAGCTCGAATAATCTCATGGTAAGGAAACTTGAAGCATGATCATGCTAAATATCCATTCAGTTCAAGTGCCATTCTTGGTGGTCAAAAAGCTCAATCTGATATGAAGTGCTCGTGTAGTGACCGTATTGTACATAGTCTTGATCTAAGACTGAAAATTGCAGGACTCTTGAATTTTTTGTTACATAATGAAATGCAGATATTATTTTGTCTATACATGAAAATCTGATGCAAAACTTGGGCCTTTTCTTTTCAGCTGCTCCAAATCAGGCTTACTTTGAGGTGAGGACAGGGTTTTTTTGAGATGAACTTCTGGAGAATACTTCCGTCATCAAGTAGTGGTGGTCACATAGTAGCTATATTTCGGTTTTAAATCAATCTTTGAATAGTGAGGCATGATGAGGAAATGATGTTTGCCTGAACTTGTGCCCAACGATGCCCAGTTCCTTGCTGCTGGCCGTTTTTTGTGGCTGGATTGATGGTTGCCTTACTCATCTGAATGTCTTCATCTATTTTCTGTTTGTTTTGGACTCATCAGGTTGATGCTGCACTCCTTTCCCTTGAACTGAGTGATTTTTTTCAGTTTGACAGATAGGTAGGTAGATAGCCGAACTAGGATAGAGAGGCAGGTGATGAATTGTAGCTGGTACTTATGACGGATTTCATGATCTAGATGTTCTCCTGGTGCAGCCAATTGTAGCTATGCCAAGCTTCTAAGATATGTCTGCATGATCATGCAACCGACTGCTGGCTGATTTCTTTTGACTTGCTTTAAATTGTTCCCTGTTCTGTCTTTCTTTCTTTCTTCCAGCAGCTTTATGTTATCAATCAATTTTATTTTTGAAGATTTCTAAAATATGTCCTCAAAGGTTCCTTGGTGTGTTTCCGCTTAGAAGGTCCATGTTTACTATTTTTGGT